TTCTATTGGTAATAGTTTTCAAGATAAGAAACGTAACTTTTTTTTGTTGTGTTTGCGCGAATCGGAAGTAAAGATGTAATATCATCGTGCCCCACTGTATCCGAATCTGAAATTACTTTAATATTATTTTCTGTAGAAAACATACTGACCTATCTAGTATTTGGCTAGCCGTCCTGACTTAGTAGATACTATATACCATATAATACTAGATACTAGATAATTTTCTTACTTAATACTAGATGTTACTATTGCTATACTTGGTATAGTACAAAAAAATTTAATTTTGACCAACTTTGACTAGCTCTACCTAATCGGTTAGTTACTAACTCTTTGTTAGTACCTAACCTAACCCGGTTAGGGTCTATTTTACTTGAAATTTTTTAAATGATTTTTTTTGGTTGCTTTGTGTAGTGTGTGTTGGCAGGGGGGGCTTTGCTCTTTTTGCACCCTTTAATCAGGGGGGCTTCGTTTCTTTAAATCCCCCCCTTCCTCCTCCGCCGTTTTATGTTTTGCCTCCCACCACTTTGACTTTCAGATCCGGAATCAGTCGAGAGCCGCTACTCTTACTGGTCGAAAGTGTCGTGGTACAAAGAGTTTTAAACGTTCGGTGCCGTGAGTGCCAAAGCCGGGACACCAGAGCTGCACTGATATTGAACGCTCCACTCCCGAATGCCTGCAACCAACTCCTCACCGCCGCCACTCAACTATGTAGTAAGTGTTTTTAATAGCGTATGTTGGCGGGGGGACTTAGCTCTTTTTTATCTTTTAGCAGGGTGCTGCGCCCCCTGGAACCCTCTCCTTTCCCCCTCCCCGCTGGCGACGCGCCCACGCCAACCTTTTCAATCAATTCCTACATACCGGGTTTAAAAAAAAAAAAAAAAAAAAAAACTTTTGTAGTGGCTCCTTTGATGTAAGAATTTGCAAATGATTTGATAGTCAAAAACCGCAATTTTTTTTAGAATTTTTAAAGAACTTTCTAAAATCTGAAAATTTTTTAGTGATTTTTACGTTGAACACTGCAATTTATTGTTTTTGTTTTTTGGTGGAGCTTCGGAAAGGTTTTTAGAATCTGGGGAAAAACCGTACATAAAATTTGCTAGGTCGAAAGTCGCCATGTATGTTGTTTGGGAATTTGGAAGACGTCCCTTGGAACTGATGGAAACTGCAAATGATTTGATACGTTCAAAGTTACTTTATATTGTGTGTAGGGATTTTTAGAAAAGTCCCTAAGGTTTAGTGGAAACTGCAAATGATCGTTCATAGACTTATATAGGCTGCTTTCCTTTTAGGAGACACAAATCGACACAGATTAACACACTCGAGCACAGTTTGCCACAGTAAATGGAACGCGATATATACAGTGTGTGTACGAACAGTACAAACTTGTAATATACATAACTTAACCTTACAAAACTTTTCAAAATTTTCAAACGGTGTGGTCTTAACTTTTACATATGTACATATCTATATATTATATTAAATATTTATATATATATTTGTGTATATAAATATGTTTCTTAGTGTAAATATATTTTAAGATAAGAGTTTTACTTTAAAGATAAGATTTTATTATTATTTTTTGCCACTGATCCAACAGTGGCAAAAGTAGTAACGTGATATATTAAGGAAAATTAACAACAATGTTTAATATATGCAATGTTTACAATTCTGCTCGTATATAAATATATGATCATATATGTAGAAATGCTTGAAGCTGCAATGGTGCAGATATATGCGTCAAAAGTACACTTGAACACACTCTGACTCTCCTCCCGAGAAGAGTCGAAGTGTGTCGATTGAGGTCGATCACAATTACAAATGGAAAGCGATGTGTGACGCTTTGTGTCGAATGTGTCGACTGTGTCTCCTAAAAGGAAAGCAGCCATAATAGACGGAACACTCGTGTAAGAGGAGCTGAAGCTTCGTTAAAAGAGACAGAAATAGTCGTGGAGTAGTTCTCTTCTTTTCTAGCAGTTAGTTGATTGGTGGCCGTGGCTGGCCGAAAGCAACAAAGATAGAGTTCGAGAGTCCGTTGAGAGAAAGTGATAGTGAAAGGTGATAGAGCATAGACTTGTGAGATGATTGGTCCCCCACCATCTTATTGTAAGAGAGAGAGACGACTACTCCAGCACTATCTCTGTCCTTTAATGTTGTTCTCACCTTTGTCATATAAATGTTCCGTCTATTATATAAGTCTATGTGATCGTTACGGTGAAATTTGCTATATACTGTGTCCACCTTAGACCATATATACTTATAGACGCCGCTTCGGACAACTATCTTGAAGCAAAGATAATATCATCTACATGACGTCACATGTGTGCGAAGCAAAGGCGCGTTTATAGACGGCTTCGGATAACTGCCTTGAAGATAAGATAATATCATCTACGAGATGCCACGTTTAGCCGAACAATTGCTGAAATGCCCACATGTGACGTCACGTAGATAATATTATCTTTGCTTCACCTCGACTCGTGGATTTCTATCTACAGGCTGTGTCCATAAGTATATATGGTCTAAGGTCCAGACTACGGGTGCTTTCCAAACAAACATACATCTAAACTCCAATCACAAATCTTTCCAATTACGGAGCAATTTAGCCAGCGAGTGGCGTATGGACTAACCCGCAGGGTCCAAGAGCCATAAGTGCACCAAGACCAAGGGTGCTTTCCAACTACGTACACACAGGCGACACTGTGCGACACAGTGTCCACTAGTGTGAGTGAGACACACTGATATGCTCTTTCTCGCACTAATAGACATAGTGTCGCCTGTGTACGTAGCTGGAAAGCTCCTGTAGTAGCTTCTCTTTCGCGCAAGGTCCAGCTGCTTTGTGCGCATGCGGTGAACATTCGAGTATGCTTGGGCATTTCATAGACGTATAATGTATAGACTGCGCGTTCCCTACCTTTGCCGTGTTAAGAAGATGTCTTCAACGTTGTGAGAGAGACAGCTGGTGTTGAACAGTAGTCTCATCTTTGTCTAGCAAAGTAGTGAAGGAAAAAAAAAAGTCTTCGCTGATTGATAGAGAATAGTGGAAAATGGGGATAGAAAAATAGTGGGGGTGAAGAAGAGTGAAAGAGATTAAGGGGTGATGGTAGGTTAGGTGGTGTGAAACAGTAGGCTCTGATCCCACCGGAGACATTGATAGACGGTGAAAGATTTACTGTTCAAAGTATGTTGTCTCTCTCAACGTTCGAGACATCTTTTCAGCCAAACGCGCAGTCTATATATTGTACGTTTATGAGGCATTTCTCTTTCTCGCGTTCTCTCACTTTCCAATGCTTTGTCTCGCTCGCACTCGCTTAGTAAACGCGTCTGCGCATAATGACGCTCGACTATCTGTACCTATATTTGGACTTCGTGCGTCTCTCTTTCTCGGGTCTCGTGCCTCTCGTTGCGAAGATACGCGCGACTAGCGATATAAAAGTATTACATATATGGTGTATGTAGTTGGAAAGCACTCGGTGTTTTTCTAGAGTATTTTCAAATTGTGCCTAGTCTAAAGTAGTGACCCTGTCTAGACTTGTGAAATGTTTCATCTTATAAATTTTTAACTAGTTCTTAGACACTTTTTGACAATTTTCCATGAAAAAAAAAAAAAAAATCCGGAAATTTAACTGCTTTAGGGAATAAACACTTTTTGTTTGTTTCTTTAAACATTTATTAGTCACATCACATTTTATCTATTTTTTAATATATTATAGACAATTAAATCACAGCTTAACTGTTGAAACTTTATAATACTGAAGAAATAAAACTGAAACTACAGCAAGCGCATGATTTGAGAACAAATAGTACGGAAGAAAAAAGCTTTTAATTTTTCAGAGATGAAACAAAGATTGAACAAACTTGTTATCTAGTTAGTTTTGTTTGTAGTTTTCGCACGTAATCTTTCGCGTATTCGTTCGTAATCTTCATTCGTCGACACTAAAGTTATGCGCGCACGTAACGGTAATTTTCTCAACATCTTTGTTTTCTTTCTTATCTTCGTGTTGTCTTTCGATTACTTTCGTGTTTTTAAATATCTTAAGATGTATCCGTTTTGTCCTTTTTTCTTCTTTCCGCATCTTTTTCGTCTTCTTTCGTTTCTTTTTTCTCATTCGCATCTAGCTCGTTTTCATTATTAGTCTCTGACTTGTAAGAAATTTCTTTCGTTTCTTTCTTTATTCTAGCTGCGGGATCCTCTGAAGGTTGATCGTCCAAAGGTTGACTGTCGCTGCTGCGACTTGGAGTATCGTAACATGGCGTCGAACTAGGCGCGTAAACGTTTGCGAGCTGTTCGTATTGATCTCCACTGTGCTGACTAATTTCTGACATATTGCCTCTATTGACATTTTCTTTTGGAAATAGTTCCTCCTCGTACTTGATTCTCTCCATGTCGCGAATCTCTTCTTGGTCTCTTCTTGTCATTCTTTCGCTGCGATTCGGCAACGTATGTTCGTCGTTTGTGCTTGTCGCGTCGGTGGTTTGTTCGCTAGCGGTAAATGAGGGATTTTCAGCTTTGGTAAAGAGATGTATAGGTCGTTGAAATCCTTTTGAAGGATGAGGCGGGATAGAAATTACCTCGCACTTGCAAAAGCCTACTTCGGAAGACAGAAGATATTGTGTAAACTTCTGTGGTCGAAACTCGATATTTTGATAATTTTTGTAAATTCGCTCCTGAAAAATAGTAGCAAAGTGTAATATGATGGTCGTGAGGTGATCAACAAAGAATAAAGAGAAAGAGGCATTCGAACGTTTCTAGCTTTGCCAATATTTTAACTTTATAGTTTGCAACGATGTAACAATGTATAAAATTTCATTTTGTGTTACTTTTGACGTCAGATTTTTTTCGAATAATTTTTCTAGAGTTACAATTTTCGTATAATATATTATTAGGTATAATGTTTTTAGAGTTCTGCAAAAAAAATACATCATGTCGGCGAACTAAGAGATTACGTTTGAACGATGTATTGTTTCTGAGAACATACAACATACAGGTACACACTGTTGTTTATTTTGTGTTACTTTTTATCCAACTTTAATTAAAGTGACTGTCGCAATAGAATTTAATAAAAAAAAAAAAAAAACCAGTTTTGTCAAATTCTTTCTTTGTAAAACATACTTGTTGTATATGTGTAAAGAATAATAATACTCACTGTGAGATTCTTCTTTTTGGTGTAGCTGGCCCAGCCTTGAGGTTCCAGCACGAGAACTCCACCAGGGCGCAATTGTGCGTGTATACGCTTGAAAGTTTGCTTTAATCCAGCGTCGCCAAAATTTAAATGGATCCACTTGGTGATGGAAAGGCATAGAATAGTATCAAATTGTGGCTGCTCTGCGCACAAAAGCGAATCGTCCTCGAGCACATAGTTACCCTGAAACCATATAAATGTCAGTTTTTTTATCTTATATGATCGCAATAAATTTCAACGCAATTGTAAAAACGTTTTACTCTTGCGCGTCCGAACTCGCAAAATTCATTGTTGAATCATATATTGTTAATATTATTTTTCTTATTTAATTCTTTCTCTGAATACTTGCCAAGTATTTAAAAGTTACTGAAAGCGGTCGCGAAAGATGTTCGAACACGAGTTCGAAAAAGTAAAGAGATAATGTCATTCGGATACTTTGTACTCGTTTTACGTACACATGTAACGTAGAAAACTACTGTACTTTTTTTTAGAGAATATATATGTGTTGCGTTATATGCGCGCGCGCTCGCGTAATAAATATAAAAAAAAAATAAACAATCAATATATATAGAGTACCTGTACAAAAGTAACATTGTAAGGGAATCCTTTGTTTTGTTTATTTTTCGTAAATCCTGGAATATCCACAGGCCCGTAATTAATTGGCATTGACATGGGAAAGAACTTGGTGTCCAGAGAGTTATCTTCGTTGCTCACAGGACTTTGCACGCAATTAACGTAATGCTTTACATTTTTCCGCGCGATATTTATTAATGTTCTATCGATATCGATCCCCGTAACACTTTTGGCTCCGAGATTTCTCGCAACTGACAGTGTAATGTGGCCGATGTTGCATCCAATATCCAAAATATCTTTTCCAAAGAACAACTCTTTTCGTTGTGCGAATACTTTTAGTCTGGGATCTACTTCGTGATGAAGATTTCTGTATCCGTAATATCTGTTGTAGTTTCCGTATTGATACCTAGCGTCCTTCGACCTAAATTTGGGCATATGTTGTTTCTTCTTCTTGTCTTGACTGGGTCTGTGTTGCGGCCTTGGTTTCCAAGCGCCAGGTTGTGGAATTACCGGGCTCACTATTTTATCTTTTGTATCAATTTTTCTCAATCTCTTGTCTTTTACTTCGTCCAGTTCTTTTAATCGTAACTTAGTTTTGTCCTTTTGAGGACTCTCTGTTTTATTTTCCTTCGAAATACTTTCGTTCTGTGTATTTTGTGTCTCTGGTGAACCAATTCTTTCGTTGAAATGGTTTTCTATTGAAGTTTCAGTTTCAACTTCGTTGTTTCCTCTAATTTCTTCGCTCGATTTCTTGCTTTTATTCACCTCCACCTTGTAACGGAAAAAAATATATAAATATATAATACAAGCCGACGCGAGCAAATTCCTTTTGAGTCATATTACAGCCTGACGAAAAAAACGTACGTATCGCGATGTACGCGCGTTGTACATTCTATTTATAAAATAATAAACGTAACTTACCGTGTTTGCTTCTTCTCTCCTGGATTCGGAACAGGATCTTTTCTTCTTTCTATTTTTTCGCTTGGAACTTTTTTTTATGGGAGATATCAATAGTTTCTCGTATTCTTCATTGTCGTTGCAATTTGTCAAATTTAACGGATCGTAAATATTTGGAGGAATAAGTACTTCGATAGCTTCCTTTTTGTGCTTTGGAGTGGGAAGCGGACTTGATTTTGGTGTTACAGCGTTCATAGCTCGATTTACTTCTTCATCTTGCATGCTATTTAGATTCAATGGATCGCAAATATTTCCACCGAGCAAGAATTTTGTAGGAGGAATGATTATACCGTCTTTCTTTCTACGTTTATAGAAATTATAGAAAGGGTAGCACTTTCCATTGTTATTCTGAGGCCGCTTCCTGTTACTAAATTTAAAAGAACGATTGTCATCATGCTTGTTAAATTTTTTGTGCGGAAGATTAAAGGGTTTTCTAGATTTTTCACTTTCCTTTTTGCTTTGACTACCTTTTGATATACGATCTGGATTACTCTCGTTTGTACGAGATACCAGTTCGGTCAGCCTAAAAAATAAGAAAGATTAAATTACTAGAAAAGAATCTAATCTCTGTGATTAAAACTTTTTTTTAATATATCCTTAAGTAATAATTAACACCAACTTTGGATACTTATATTCTTGTGTGTAACTTTTTTTTGTTATTCTATATAAGGAATTTAAGTGTTTGTTTTTAGCTATATATATCTTCAATTATGATGTAGTAAAAACTAGTTTACATCTGTTTAAAGAAGGTGTGCAAAATTGTTTTTGCGAAGAGAAAAGTCTGTTCATTTTAGATCTTTATTCTCTGAACTTTTTTGCTTACATAAATATCCATTAGATGTTTGTGTACAATTCCATGTGACAACTAATAAACATCTAAATAAAGGTTTATAAAATATTGTTCCATGTTTTAGTGCAACAATAAAAATTAAAAAAAAAAAAAAAAAAAACTGTAAGTGACTTGTTTTACTATCCGTTCGTTTAACGTTCCAGTTTCAATTTGTTCAACAAAGTTGCAGTTAACTCGGCCAACCGATACTGAGTTTGACAGTTGATTTAACTCAAAAGTTAAATAAACGTCAAAAACATATAGCAATATAGCAAATAATATTGATTTAGTGATATTGTTTTTCTACTGTCATTTAATGTCGTGTGCGTTAATAGTCACATTTGTTATATTTTTTTTAACCGTAACGAAAACGTCAACAAAAGGACAAACATTGCGCGAACAATACTGCACTATCTGCACTCGAACAAACTTGAGTCTGCGGCTGCGCATTAACGTATTGTCAGACGTCGCGATACAGCTTTCTGAAGATTCTACACGTCCGACGTTACAAATTTTCTTTTGTTCATTGTTCACATTGCTGATCGCAAATTTGTATTCTTACCTCGTCAAACGGCTACTCTCACCATCGTCTTTCTCGCAGTTACTCATTTTACTATTCTCGCGACAATCCTCCTCCCGTACACCGTCAACAACTGCAACATCCATGTGCCGCGTGCGCGTGTACAATGGCGAATAAGCCCTCCAAGTCCGATCGTCAAACAGGAGCGCACCAAACGCCATTTTCTGTCAGTTACCGACACAGCACCGTATCAATAAAACTAATACATCATGCTGCAGTAAAATATATTTTCAAACGTGTTTTTCTCTTCTAATTTTTAAATTATATTTTAATGTCTACATGATATTTGTACATATACATTATGTTTATATATGTATATATATATATATATATACACAGGGTGTCCGACAATTAGTGTAAAATTTCTCGTAGGCAGGTTAGGTCTACTATCTAGAAATAGTCGAAAAGTCTCCTGAACTATTTTTTTATATTACATATAATAAAGAAGTAATTTATTAAATAAATCAAGCCAATCAGCGCTGATTTTTAGCCGGGTGCATGTCAGTGAGCCGCGCGGAGCGCTCACGCACACCAGGCGCGTGGTTACTGACGTGCGGCTAAAAGTCAGCACTGATTGGCTTGATTTATTCAATAATATATATATATATATATACAGGGTGTCCCAGGATTGGTGTAACATCTTCCGTAGACAGGTAGAAGAAATAAAACTGAGTCGATAAGTTCTATACCATTTTGTTAGATTCGCAATAGTTACCGAAATCTTAATTAACAAAGATCCGCGAATAAGCGTGCATCGGGCTGTCTTACGCGCGTAGTACAGCCCGGCGCTTCGCACAATTACATTTTAATATGTATATGTTGTAGTATATGCTGTTATATTAGCTCCTCCCATATGTCGCTATGGGTAACACCGTTAGCGTGCGAAGCGCACTGGGCTGTCTTAAGCGAGTAAGACAGCCCGATGCATGCTTATTCGCTGATCTTTGTTAATTAAGATCTCGGTAACTATTGCGAATCTAGCAAAATGGTATAAAACTTTTTGATTCAGTTTTACTTCTTCTATTTGTTCACGAGAGATGTTACACCAATTCTGAAACACTCTGTATATATACAGGGTGTCCGACAATTACTTTAAAATCTTTCGCAGGCTGGTAGAAGGAGTATAACTGAGTCGAAAAGTCCTGAACCATTTTTTTCTATTACATATAATAAAAGAGTGATTATTTTATTATATATATTATATATATATATATATATATATATATATATAATTTAAAAAATGTCAACACTTACGTAAAAGTAACTTTTTTTTTAAATAACAGAAATGATAAGAAGAGATATTGCGGTAACAAATGTATTTCATTTTCAAAGAATCGCCACTTGTTCGTCGTCAATGTCAATACGTTCTTGAAATCTTCTAAAGTCTCGTCCAAAGCCTCCGTGCCGAGACACATTTAATCGTACATACATGTACAAATTCTCTACATATGTGTCAACATTTTTATGAAGCATCTTCTGATAAAAAAGATTTTGTATCACTACTTCATAACCCACTTTAACCCTAACCTAACCTAGATGAGGCGTATAGTAAATTATTATATTGTTAGGTATCACTGCACTGACAAAAAAGAGCAGCGATATCTGACGTCATGTTTGTCGACGAGAACATTTGTAGTGCACACTTTTTGAATTAGTGCAACCAGTGTAGAGGAAAAGAGCAAATTTTATTCCTGGGAAGACAACTGGAAAGAGTCTGATTCTGTTTGCAAAAATAAATAAGACATGTGGACTAAAGGTTTTGTACGCTTGAGGCTTACTTTTTAAGAAAATCGATTTTTTTTAAATTTGAAAGATTGATGTTGTATTTACTTTTTGTTGTGTTTAATTGGTCCTTTGATCAATTCAGCCAATCGGTCGCTGTAATTGCTGTAATTCTACGAGAATAGTTGTTATAAAACCGGAGTATAGCGTTGCCGTGTAAACGTAGTCAAGTGAGCAAATTTGTAGCAAAGTTAACTCGAATGAAAGTAGCTCACGTGGACCCCGTTTGTTATATCGATAGCACCTTTTTCGTGTACTAAATCTTTTCAGCCGTAATTTTTCTCGTCGCTTCCATAAGTCTTTTTGGAAGATAAATCTTTATATATAAATATAATATATAAATATTAGATATAGACTGAGAGAGAGAGAGAGAGAGAGAGAGAGAGGGAAAGAGAGACAAGATATCGCATAAAGCGACGGAATTTCTGGCAACTCAACAGGTAAAAAATCGGAATATGATATAGTTTGATTAAAATAAATAATAAACTGTTAAAAACAACTTTTAACTGATTAAAGACTCAAACTTTTATAATTATTAACAATAATTATTTGAAATACAAATTTAGATTAATAAAAATCTCGAATAAATCTAACACATGATTAGTACGAGAATTTTATTCTCTTATTAAGACTATTTCTTTGTGTGTTGAAAGTTATTTCCATTTGTAGAATAAAATGTATAGTTTTCAACGTCAGATATCATCGGAATCATTGGAATTATTGGAAATTTCACCAATAGAAAAAACTATTCCTGTTCCTCCAAACGCGCCTATAAAAATGAGGAAACATTTTTCCAAAAAAGATTTAAAGCCGAAAAAGCTTCGGTTTCCAGACAAAGAAAGAGATGAAGCAAATACCAAAAATTATTATCAGGGAAGCGTAGACTATTCACCTAATATATTCAATCGGAAAGATGTTTTGAAAAAAACATGCGCGTTTAAAGAAGAATTAAGTGGAAAAAGTTTGAGCGTTATGTTTGAAAATACACATCTCGTGTCAAATAAGGAGAATGTAAGATATGAAGAGGAAAGATATGTAAGAAAAGTTTGGAAAAGTCGTCCAGCTATTAAGAAACATGCGAATAATGATAATTCTTTGCAATCGTCGATATCATCAAAACTAATCCACAGGAACACGAAAGGTGAATTTGTGCACTTGCGTATATGAAAGAGATAAAGCGTAATAGATTTACTTTTATCATATATTGTATTCTGTCAATGCAAAAATATGAAAACAATGATTAAGTCGGTAAAAAAAGAAACTTAACGACTTGATCATTTATATAAGTTTTAAATATTCGTAAATTATTAAATTAATGCAACGTAAGGATAATTAAATCTCAATATACAATGATAATTAATTATCACAGATAATAGATGTGTTTATTACATCTATATGTGTGTGTGTGTGTGTAAATATACATGAATTTTATGTATGTAAATTAAAAATATTGTAAATTATGTGTATTCTCTTAATTAGGATAATATTACGATATGATTTTTGTGTACATCAATATATATTTATATATTAATGTGATTGAGTATAAGTAGTATCAAAACAGTGGAACATGTGTATAAAAAACTAATAATATATTAAGTTGTAATAGATTAAAATGCTGTAAACTATACTTTTTTCAACCAATTAATACATAGTTGTTTCTATGTTAATTGCGGAAAAATTTTTTTGACGTAAATAAATTACGAGTTGTCCGTATGTTGTATCTTTTGCGTTACATATTACGTACATATTAACGTACACAGTAGTTTTACTTTATTTTTTCTATTTTTTATTCAATAAATATACAAGTTTTTTTATAGATATGAAAAGTTTCAATATTATTATCTCATATGTATATATATACATACAAGTGTTTGAATTTAATTGCAGTTTAGTTATCTGAAAGAGTTTTTAAGCGTTACGCTTCTCGCTTTTCTTTTACCGAACTTACCTCAGCGACGATGGCCACGTTTAGTTATCGGTGAAGCGCCTTTAGATATGTTACTGCTTCCGAGCTGTATCAATTTCCCGAAAAAAGCTATCTTATAATCGAATATATAAAAGAAAACTTAAATAAAGAAAATATTTCATTTTACTTGAAAATTGTCTTTTCTCCTCACGGTATACATCAATGCGATTAACTATAAGTACGAGCCCGGTAAAAACTTTTCCATGTATAAAATTGTATGGACATATTCGACACACACACACACATATAAATTTGTATAATTAGATATAATAATTTTAATTTGTGTATAAGTATATATGATTATATATCAAAAAATTTTTAAAAATATAGTAAAAATATAGTTTTATATAATTTTTTGTATCTAACATGATACTAATAGAGTTATTTTGTAATTTGATATGGAATATCTCTGAAGCCATTCTTTTAAAAAAAGAAATTCTCCGTGTATAAAATTGTATGGACATATTCGGCATATAAATTTGGATAATTAGATATAATAATTCTAATTTGTGTACAAGTATATATGAAAAATTTTTTACCGGGAGATATGTCAACTTTGAAGCTTTGTATTTCGGGAATAGCTTGTGCAAAAGACACAAGTAATTAGTGTTAATTTTTGAAAACGTTTTGACGTCAGCTACAAGAATATGTAATAAAAAGTAAAAGGTTTTTGTTTACAAATTTAAAATTAATCTTGGCAAGAGTTTTTGATAATAACTTAAGTTAGTAATGTTTGAGGTTAGGAACTTTTTGATATCGACTGATTGTAGGCATGTTTAGTACTCGCGCTAGTTTCTATCGTAAACTTTCCAAGTAATACTTTCAATTTCCTTGGTACTTTTCATATCCTCAAGTTTTATTAGTTTTGTTAACATACAATGAAATTGTAGCGTTATGTGGTAGTAACATACAATGATTGTACATAGTCAGTGCCGGACTAACGCATAGGCAGACTAGGCACTGCCTATGGGCCCCCACCAACAAAAGAAAACTTAAAAAAATAAATAAATAAATTTAACCAAAATTAGATACATGTCTTTTAGAAGTATCCTATTTAAAATATATAATTATTTTTTTATTTTTTATACCAATTACCTTTTTTTTTTTTTTTTTTACTAAACAATTTTCAAAATCTGTCCTTACATGGGCCCCCACCAACAGTTGCCTAGGCCAGGACATTCGGTTAGTCCGGCCCTGTACATAGTTATACCTACATATATATATATTTATATGTAAAATAATTTTAGTTATATGTGAATAGTTATTTTTATATATTTGCATAAAATGACCACTTTATATATAATTATATACAAAAACTAGACAACGTTGTATATAATTATATGTACGAAAATATATATATATATGTGTGTAATTATATATATGTTATATATATAATTATAATTGTATGTTTCTACATGAGATTGTATA